ATTCCGGCCCCTTAATTGCGTCGGCCCACCGGGAAAATGCCCGGTATGCCCGATTACCAATCCAGCCCTGGTTAAGCCTCTAATAGAGCTGTACACATGTATTTGTGGAGAACATTTCTTGTTTATCCGGTTCATCGGTATGTAAACAAAGTAATTTTGCTTCCTGATGTCACACTAAGAAAGAGCCAACAGAGCAGCAAATGTGAGTTTTCTAAGGCAAGTATCAGTATCATTACCCAAAAACATATTTTCCATGCGATCTTAAATCGGTCATATGATGCGATTTCAAGTTTTCCTTTCTCTTTGGAGGGTTACAATCTGTTCGTGAATAGATAAGATCCCTACATAAACACATTTCATTACACCAAATACACAAAATAATGTTCTTTTTAGCAACATCATATGACCCCTTTAAGAAGCTGACTCATGATGTTCACCTGGCAGACAATAAACATGAAACATGAAGGAACTGACATTGAAAGACACCTCCTATCAAAGTATAATTTTAAATATTTTAAATATAATAATAACATTATTATATTATAAACAAACATTATATATAAATGTAATAGTACAATTTACTGCTGTTAAATCATATGAATTTGAAGCTATGCAATTTGTTGAAACTGATATTTATTCTCAGAGAGGTTTTTCTACTGGATAAATAAAAATTAAATAATATATTAATGATACAATGGCAGTAAATCATATTACATTTTGTACTGACAGTATAACAGAATGATCAATAGAACTTTAGATTGATAAATAGATTGACAGACAGATAGACATATGGATGGATGGATGGATGGATGGATAGATAGATAGATGGGTCAAAACCGCATAAACAGTGACACATTGTTAATTTCTTCAGGATTAAGTCTGCATCACTGTTCCTCGTTGAGAAGAGGTGTCTGGTGAAATGAAGGTTATACAAAAAAAAAACGATTCATCTCATGAGTCACAAGGTGAGTTCACTATTCACCCACAAAAAACGTCAAGGCTCTGAACAAAGCCTGCAGGATGCCATGCATGAGAGAACGTGCACACCACCCCTCAAAGAAGTACCCGAGAAAGCAAAAAAGAAATTGCATCCTTTATAAGTGTCTCTTTGTGTACCGCTACATCTCTCCTCCCACTACAGGCTTTTTGTTTGGATGCTTACAAAAGATTATCTCTAAGAAAGAGGGGAGCTCAGAAATTGAATAAGTATTGGAGAACTAAGAGAGATAATTCTCTTCTCTGATGACCTTGTTCCACGATTTTTTTATCAATCAATCTATCTCTGAGATAACAGACTGCCTATTTCGTGTCTAAATCTACCGGAAGTAATATTGGCATAGTAAAATGAACATGTTCTTGACTCACTATGTAACCTTGCGGTTTCACTTTATTTTGATGGTCCCTTTAACACATTATGTTAACTATAAGTAACGTTGCACCTACATATCTCATTAGAGTGTTAGTGGAGTATTAGTAGACTGTTAGGGTTAGATTAAGTTGACATGTACTTGCAAAGTTACTGATAGTGGAACGTCTGTTGGGAGACCATCACAATAAAGAGTTAACAGATATTAAGCAGACTACTAATACTCTAATGAGTTAGTTGACATGTAGGTGCAGTGTTACTTATCGTCAACAGAATGTTCAAAAGGGACCATCAAAATAAAGTGTTACCAACCTCACTATTACAACTATATGACTAGAAGAAAACTGGATTGCAACAAACAAAATGTTTTTACATTAAAGATGAAAATCGGATTCTCACTAAATTAAACATAATGCAACAAAAACCTGGCAGGCTACAGTTGTAATGTAGCATACTGTTTGTCATTGCATTATAAACTTCCCATGTTTCTTTTTTTAAACAGGCAGTGCAATCAATATGCAGTACTCTAGTATTCCAGTCCAAACACTGGCTGAAAGTCCTTTTGTAGAGGGAAGTGACTAATCATTGAGCAGATGTTCAGTTTGACCAGTTTTTTAAAGATTTTAGCCTTACAAAAGTGTTATAAAACCCTCCATCGATTGGTCCAAAGGTATTTCAGACACAAATAGTTAAACCTCCAGTCTTTGTTAACCAAGTACAAAGCTTTACCATTGCTAAGGACCTATCTTTCACTGTTCAGAGAGACATTCATGAAGAACGTCTGAGTTTTCATGAGCTTGTCATCCTTAAATTGTCAACTAGAGTTTACTAAAGTCTCACTGTTGGTTCTCAGTTCAGCTGCAGGACTCATCATGAATAATTTCATGTGGTTAAAGGAGGACGCTTACGAATCAATTCCATCACAGCACCAGACAAGTAGTGTGAGATTACAAGGCAGGGCAAAAGAGGGCATGGCAGGAAGTAACTTGAGGCCACTGGAACCAATCCAACCAAAAAACACCTGAGAAAGGCTGTATAAACAGCTTACTGACACAATTCTACATTCATATCAGAAACAAAGTGGTTGATATAACCAAAAAGAATGGTGGTTGTCATTACACAAAATAATCATTTATTCAATGAAAAAAATGTAATTTATGCTGCGAAAATTACAATGCATGAGGAATAAAAGCTTTGCACTGTTTCAAGGATGTCCCAAAATATCCCGCAGTTTTTAATCCATAATCTTGTGAATTACAAAGGCAAATACAAAGATGAAAAAGCTGTAAAAATTTGCATATTTCACTGATGAATTCAACCTTAAAAAAACATGTTATATTAATATCAACATATGTACATCTTGCGTTTTAAGTGTTGTGGCACTGCTAACTCATGAAGGAGGGTCATCTCCATGAATAGCCTTATATTTAGCCATCTCTTCAGGAAAAACCTTGCCCAGCTCAGAAATGAGGAGGCTTTTAAATTTCTGCAGAAAAAAAAAAGAAACCGCAAAAGAAGGTTAGATGAAGATCCTTTGTTTTATTCAAAACATACCAGGTAATCATCGATCCACAATAGAAATCTAAAAAACAAGGGGAACTGTCTAGCATTTTTATCCTAAGATTTCTTTAATACACACACTCATATTATAGATTTACAAAGAAATAGACTATTTTCAATTCTTAAGTTCAAAAATAACATTATAGTGGTCACATATGTCAGTGCTGCAACTTTATTCCAATAACACCGGGGGGGGAAACTTGAAAAATAAGAAGGCTCATTCAGACCAAGAATGATAACTAAAATTATCACTATACATAGGAGGGGTAGAATCTTTGCAAACATATTTATTATGTCCTTTTATAACAAATGACCTGCTAGCACTCCCAAATTAGTCAGTAATTTATAGTGATGGTAAAACTGAACTCTGAATCCAAATGCTGGACCAATACTCACAGTCAATGTGTCAATCTTTCCTTTGACCTGCTCATTTTTAGCCAAAGCTCTTTCTAAGCACTCCTTTGTGTAGAGTTGAGGGTTACGACCCTGATCAATATACCTGTGCAAAACATCAATAATTAGTAATGGCTATTCATGTCTTTACACAGATGTTACATATCACATTTCTTGAATATAACAATTAAATGGGTAATGACAATCTAAACAGAGTAGAAATTAAAGTAAAAGAAGGGTAATTTGATAAAGAACATGCAAACACTTAGTGCTGAGCGGTATACCGGTTCATACCGAAATTCACTCATCATGACAGTAAAATAGGGCATTCGAAGTCAATATACTGCAGTATTTCCTCTCTCAATCAGTAGAAAATATGGTTAACACCCGGTCATGCATGGAAAAAATACCGTCTTGTACCGTGAAACCGGTATCATTTTGAAAAATACCGTGATATAAATTTTTGGTCATACCGCCCAGCACTACAAACACTTTTTAAATGTTTGTCATCTGACTACCGTGAATGAACAAAACCATTAACATTAATTTTTCACGAGGTTTGTGCAGCTAGAAATATTTATTATGCATATCTGTTATGTAATGTAATACTTACTCGAACACTTCCAACGGTACGTTGATATCATGAAGCTGCTGTCGGCATTTCTCAATGTCCTGCAGTCCTGTGATCATAAAGTTCCTGAAGAAATAAATAACCAAAACATTTTTAACAACACTACTGATAACAAGCCAAGAAAGGCTAAAGCTCAAAATCGCCATTATTTCCCAGATATTATTTGTTTAAACCCAACATATGGTTTTAGAATCGTGTTGAAATGAACAGAATTACAACTCACAGTTTCTGGTTGAGTCCTGTCTGACTGCTGGGCTGGAAATCGCTGACAATAATCCCAAGCTGTCGTATGTTTTCGACGAATTTCTCGAGGTGTTCTTCGAGATTATCAAACTTTTCCGCCATGGCGTGCTGTATTTTACATAAAGGTAAGCGTACGATTGATTTAATTGGGATAAAACTAGAAAAGCATTAACAAAAGACGGACATCTGTTCAACCAACGCAGCTTCCATGACAGCGAACAGCTTTCCGGCTGCGTTTCACCCAATAGCGTGCGAGAATGGACTGTTACCCTGGTAACGGAATTCTTCGTTGTGCTGTAAAGCGTTTCGAAATGCTGCAAAGTCACTGTTGGAAAACAACCTATGCATTGGATGATGGCTCGTTCAAACACGAACGATTTTACACATACTCATGTGAACTGCTGATGCATTGACCTTTTCAGTACGAGGTTTGAGAGAAGTGGGTGTATTGATTCATTGCCAGCTGATGCATGAGAAGCTCGATCCCCTCCCCGCTAAACATTAGGGCAAATACGCATTATTTATTTATTTATTATTTTTTATTAATGTGGATGTCATCTTACATATTATATTACAGCGAATGTAGAAACAGCCAGAGAGAGACAAACAAATACATTAAGTTGTACAATGACACTAAATACTGTTTCTGGGATTTTTCCTGATGTAAGTGATCGAAATGAACTATAATACGAAAAGAGTGGTGTTTTAAACAAAAATGACATGTATGTTAAAAAATAATATAAGAACAACAACAAATAAATTGACAATATGCCAAAATTTGCAATTTCTTATAACAGGGTAAAAGGTGTACTAACACTAAACGCGTCGAGCAGAGCGTTATTTATTTTATCCGGCAGTATTCAGACAAGCCCCGCCTCCCACGGCAGGATTGGCTAGTGTGAGCTCCTCACCGCCACCGCCGGCCTGTGATTGGACAGTTTAGAAGTCAATCACATAGCACATAACTCCATCACAGGCTCTGCTCCATCAGACAGCGATCAGGTCGAGGGCGGGACTTGTCGGAAGACTGGTGTGAAGAAAAAAATAACTCTTGCCGGACCCTTGATTACTCATTCCGTCCAGGTACAGCGGAAGTCAACCGACCTGCGGTGCTCCGCTCCCGCTACTCTTGTTTGCGTGCGCCAGATTCATTTCGGGCAGCCCTATCGTGCCTCTTGCAGCAGCCGCGTCCGTGCCTCATAGGGAATTAGAGAGCTGTGGGGATGCGTATTAAATGAGCGCTCTTGTGCTTCAGTGCAGTCGCGCGGGGAAGTGATGCATTGAGGACGGGCTGCTCTGCGGGCGTTTTATCTTCCGAGCTCCGTTACACCCACCGCGAACGGCGAAGCACCTCAATGGCTACTCTTTTGCGAAAAATCGGGCTCATTCGCCTGCACGACCGAGACACGGAGGACCCGAAGCATCACCACCAGGGCTCATTGAAAGGGACTAAAGGCAACCAGAAAAACAACAACACGAAGCACTGCAACACCAGCAACGAGACCAACAACATCCTCAGCACGCCAGAAGTCAAAGCCAGGCGCTTCGACGTGTCCGGCAAGGACAAGCCCGCCGTCAAACCGGACGCGAAAGAGAAGCAGCAAACGGGAGGCGGCAAAGCGACGAGCGGCTCCGTGATGCCCCCGCCGGCGGCGAACCGGCAGCACTGCACCCAGGTGCGGACGCGGAGGCTGATGAAGGAGCTGCAGGAGATCCGGCGGCTCGGCGACAGCTTCATCACGGTGGAGCTGGCGGACGATAGCCTCTTTGACTGGAATGTCAAGCTGCACCAGGTGGACAAGGACTCCGCGCTGTGGCAGGACATGAAGGAGACCAACACCGAGTACATACTGCTGAATGTCACCTTCCCCGACAATTTCCCCTTCTCCCCGCCGTTCATGCGCGTCCTGACGCCGCGGCTGGAGAACGGATACGTGCTGGACGGCGGCGCGATCTGCATGGAGTTATTAACGCCCCGCGGCTGGTCGAGCGCGTACACCGTCGAGGCCGTGATGAGGCAGTTCGCTGCCAGTCTGGTGAAAGGACAGGTGAGGATGGCTTCTTGCCATAGCGGCGTTGATTTCTTCACATCTCATGTTTCTTGACGCCATCCTACATCTTGGCATCGGCGCACAGGTGAATCGCGTGAAAACACGCAACATCCATTCAATACGGGTCCATATGATAGTGTCTGTTACATATAATTCGTGTGAGTGTAGTTACATAGTAATAAACACTCAGAAATATACTCATCTTCATGTCGTCCAAGATATGTGCCACTGTCTCCATTCACCTTCATTGCATCTTTTTCCATACAATGAAAGTAAATGGTGGCTGAGGTTGTTGTTGCCTTCCATGGAAGAAAACCTCACAGGGTTTTTTTTTTTTTTAACGATTTACATCTTCAGCAAAGAACACTTTTTATCAAGATCCATTTTGCCCTATATAGGGTGCTTCAGTTGGCTGTACGGTTCTTTAAAGATTTTTCATGTTTAGTTAAGAGGTTCTTCTGATCAGTATTTGGCATCATCCATTACCAAAGCAAAGCAAATCTCTCTTGGGTTCATTGAAGCAATAGTACATATGCAGTTATCTAAAGATCATAAAAGATTATCATATTGCACGGTAGCAACTAAAAAAAGGGGGCTCTTATGTCATCAGGCTGTAAAACCTTTTTTGGCAGGACCTTTATTTTTAAGAGTGTATAGGTAACCAAAATAAGGGTTTCATGACCACACATTGCTTTAGTTGTGCTTTTGTGTTTGTGTGTTTTCTATTACATTTAAAATGCTACACGTCAAAATTTGTTTTTTTTTTATAGGTTCTTCAATATATAACTATATATTTTGATATCTATTTGATGTTTTGCACCAAAAATGGCTCTGTTATTGGTTCAATGAATCATAATCTGGTGCTATTTCGAACCATTTTTTTAAGAAAGTACTGCAGCCTGGATCTTAACTAATGTGATTAGATGGGCTCCATAGATAGATCACATATCGGTTATTAGATAGTCCCATTCTAAGGATGATTGCAAAGACCAACGTGGGTCATGGATATGGATGAGAATCCATAATGAAGCTAGAGACTGGCCATTAACCCTGTGCTGTAAATCTGAGAGAAAAGTCCTGTTCATCTACGCTTGCCTCAACCTGTCAGGAGCTCTTAAATGCCAAATTCATGATGAGCCTGAGGCAGCGGTGACTAGATAACCATTTTTCCCCAAATGACCCAAAGCACTCAAGGGTAATTACCATTTTAGCTGCTGCTGACACAACAGATCCCCAATTAACATGCAGCTAAAGGAAATGACGGGCCATATTTTGAGCATTCATGGTTTATCGCTTTTGTATTTAATACTTAAATAATTTTTTCCCACTTTACCGAATTGTTTAAAAGGCTCCATTCACTTCTAACCTGAGGACATGGATGTGCTTTGACAATCATTTAAATTTCACTGAAGGTTTTTTGTTGTTCAAATTCTGCTTTGGTTTGGGAAGATCTTTCTGCATACCAAAGCTCAGACATTTGCTGTTTTTAAAGTTTTTTTTTTTTTTTTAATATTTAAGAGGCTCCATTCACTTCTAACCTGAGGACATGGATGTGCTTTGACAATCATTTAAATTTCACTGAAGGTTTTTTGTTGTTCAAATTCTGCTTTGGTTTGGGAAGATCTTTCTGCATACCAAAGCTCAGACATTTGCTGTTTTTAAAGTTTTTTTTTTTTTTTAATATTAGAATCAGTTACAGCACAACATAACATCAAAAAGGGGAAAATAATATATATATATATATATAATTTACATATGACTATTATTCTCATTGCTTTAGACTAGAATACAGGTGCATCTCAAATTAGAATGTCGTGGAAAAGTTCATTTATTTCAGTAATTCAACTCAAATTGTGAAACT